ATTTTTAAAATTATCTAAGTAGTTGTTCTGCGCAACGCGTGAATTTTCACTAGTACATAATATTTTCATTTACTGTCCCAATCGCCTTTTGATTTTTTACCATCATCAATAACTAATCTTTCGATTTTATACACATATGTAGGGGCTTCTTTTGCTTCCATCCAGACGTTCTTGTTTGGGCAAATAGATATGAAGATCAAACTAATCCCTGGAAGTTCTCAAGGAACCGTGGTTGCTTATTACGTAAGAACCTTTCGCCCTTTATCTTCTATGACCGTCTTTTAGCATGTGCAACTGGAGCATTTGAATATGGTTCCGATTACAAAAAAAGTTGTAAACTAGATGCAACATATGAACTAAGTTCTAAATTTTTCTTAAAAAATTAAATCAAATATACCATTTATAAATAGTTTGTGACAACCCTAATATCATCCTAAGTAGACATGAATCTCATAATGCCATTGATTCATATTTGAAACACTAAATCAGATGTCCTCGGATCAGCCAAACCGGGATGAGATAGACTTCGAATTCCTGGGAAATGTTGACGAGCAGCCTTACGTGCTCCAGACAAATGTCTATGCCAATGGATTTGATAACCGTGAAGAAAGGATCCATCTCTGGTTCGACCCAACAAAGGACTTTCACACCTACTCCATCTTGTGGAACATTCACCAAATTGTGTAAGATTCTTCAACCAAAATCCTTTCACTACGTAATCCAATGCATAAGAATGTTGTTTTGGGTGTGGTTTCAGATTTATGGTGGACCAAATTCCGATAAGATTGTACAGAAACCACGCGGATAAAGGTGTACCCTACCCAATGTGGCAACCTATGAGTGTAAAGGCGAGTCTATGGAACGGTGAGAGCTGGGCTACACGCGGTGGGCGTGATAAGATTGATTGGTCAAAGGGTCCATTTGTGGCATCCTTTGGTGATTACAAGGTTGATGCTTGTGTTTGGAAAAGTAACTCAGGATTGTGTAGAGAAGAGAGCAATGAAAACTGGTGGAACAAGAATGAATTTAGTTCTTTGACAAGAGTGCAAAAGAGATGGTTTAAATGGGTGAGGAAGTATCACTTGATTTATGATTATTGCCAAGATTATGCAAGGTTCCATGACAAGCTCCCCAAGGAATGTTCACTTCCAAAATACTGAATTTGCTCTTCGCCTTTTCAGTTTTATAGGCCTTCATTTTATTTTTAATAATATTTATGTTTTTTTAATTTATTAAATATCTCAACACTTTGTTCAAAAAAATATATCTCAACACTATGAGTTGCGACGTTAATTTTAAATGCGTTGATATTACAAAATGATGTAATTTAAAAGCAATCATTTTCTATCATTTTACTCACAAAATTCAATATTGTAATATCTTTCTTCATTTTAAATAGAAACTAGATTTTCGCCCGTGCCCAAGCACGGGTTTAAATGATTGAATAAATTGATTAATTGATTTTAACATATATAATTTTTTAATATTTAAACGTGTATGACAAAACATATGATTTCTAATATTTGTAAGGATAAAAAATTATATGTATTGTGCATCAAATGAATCAAACATATATAATATTATTTATTTTAATACTTTTTAAATAGAAAATTGATATTCGTTATTCGTGTAAATTATATAACATATGATAAATAAATTTGTGAGAGATAACAAACAAAATACATATATATTGTTTTCCAGTAATGAAACGTATAAATATTTGTAAGTGATTA